TAGATCATTCTGTTACTTGATTTCTAACAGCCCTTTGGCTCCACAAGAAACTTACAGGTATGGATGGCCATAGCATAGGATTGTATTGCATGGATGTCACTTGGAGCTTCTTACAGTAGCTCTGCAGCCTGGCATACTTGCTGGAAGTAGGGAATAGAGCCAGCCACCCCTTGGACCTTCTACTGGTCTTATGGATCTGTGCCAAGCTGCAGAGCCAGTTTGGTTTTACAGTGGTGCCCCGCTTGACGACAATAATCCGTTCCAGCAAGATCGCTGTAGAACGAAATCATCGTCAAGCAAAAGTAAAAAGCCCGTTGAAATGCACTGAAATCCTCTCAATGCGTTCCAATGGGCAAAATACCTCATCGTAAAGCAAAGATCCTCCATAGGGCGGCCATTTTCCGGTGCCTGTAAAGCGAGGAAACACAGCGGGAAGCCATTTTGAGCAGCCGGTGGCCATTTTGAAAACCCAACAATCAGCTGTTTTGATCGTCGTAAAGCAAAAAGCGGTTCCTGAAGCAGGGAACCTATCGTCGTCAAGTGGATTTTCCTAATCTAAACACCGTTTTGCGATCGCAATAGCAATTGCAAAATACTCATCGTGAAGCGATTTTGTCTTCTACCGGGGTAAGCGTCTAGCGGGGCACCACTGTACTATACTATTGCTCAAATGTAGTTACTTCTTGAACCAAAATCATGGCAGCTGTAGCCCAAAAGCAATTCTATCCCCCACCAAAAAAAGTGAATATCCTGCCCTGTTTTCTAAGTTAGCAAAACATGAAGTTCAGAGGAACAAAACCTGTTTTGAAACTTACCTGTCTCTTAGGTTCTCAACACTCTGAAAGGAAAAGAGAAAAAATGGTTAGCTAGATTCTCCAAAGCTACCAAGGGAAGCTTTTGTATAATGTCTGAAATCCTGTCACTGAGTGTCATAAATCACAACTAGAGTAGGCCCACTGAACCAGCGAGAATTTGGTGAATCACTGGACAAACTTTAGTTGTGATTTACTACACTCAGCAACAGGATTTAGCCAATGACATTTAACAGCTATGGAGGAAAGAAAAAGAAAAAAGTGGAAAAGCATGACCGCAGTTGAAATTCCAGGTGAAATTGTTACTAGAGAAGAACCATCGATTCTGTCACTGATCCAAAAGAAGACGGCAGCTAAGAAATCAGAAGAGGCTAATCAAGAGATTTTAAGGAAGGCTGTGAAAGAAGTAGAAAAGATCCTTATGAATAAAAATATGTTGCTGGAGACCAAGGCAAAAAATCATCTATGCTATGGTATTAGCGACTACTAACGATGGATTTGAAAAGCTGAATAATGAAGGCGGCTGACTAAGGAAAAAGCTGACTCGTTTAAAATGTGATGTTGGAAGGGAGCTTTAGATACTATGGACTGCAAAAAAAAAAGTGGGTTCTTGATCAGACCAAGATCGAACTCTCACTAGAAGTTAAAACAACTAAATTAAGGTACAGTGGTGCCCTGCATAGCGACGTTAATCCGTTCCAGGATTAACGTCACTATCCCATTGCAATGCGATCGCATTAGCGATCGCAAAAAATGCGTCGCTATGCGGATTCGTCGTTAAACGGTGCGCTTGTTAAGCGAGGCACCACGGTATTGTGCTTTGAACATGAAACCCATAATGTTAGGTAAAGTGAACTGCAGTAGGAAAGGAAGAAGAACGAACATGTAACGGATTGACTCAGCAAAGGAAGCCATGCCCTTGACTCTACAAGACCTGAGTAGGGCCATTGAGGAGTTTTCGGAGGCATTCAATTAATAAGATCAGTGTTAAGTTGGGAATGACTTCATGGCACGTAAGGACAACAAAGGAGCCCCTGATTCTTCAGAGAAATATCCAATGAACACCCCTTTGAGAATCTTTTAGATGTGGATTCCCAGTCAAGCCCAGCTGCAGAAAAGCTTCCAGGGGAGCTTAGAAGATACAAAATGCTAAGCCAGAACAACAAACAGTGTGTATATCTGCCCTAAAAGAATAAATACAAGAATTGGTATAATAAATAAATACAAGAATAAATACTCGAACTGGCCTTCTCAGCCACACTAGACGCTGTTCCAAGTCCTGCATTCAGAGCTAATTACCATAGTCTCTGGCGACTGAAGGAGGCATAATCAAAGGTAGAAAGGACATCCACTTCCCCCACCCTGGTAACCACACCCCTAGCCGATGTATTTTATTATTTACTTAAAATATTTTTATCCCACCTTTCTCTTTAAAAAATCAGCAAAGGTGGCTTATTTTTTTACATCAGTAGAAAACCATAATTAAAAGGAGTGTATAAGGGCAGGCCAGCTGGGTCTCCAGTGGGAGGGAGTTCCGAAGTCTGGGAGAAGCCACAACACAGAAGGCTCTCTCCTGTGTCCCCATCAGATTCACTTGTGAAGGTGGCAGGAGGGAGAGAAAGGCCTTCCCTGATATTTTTAACATCCTGGCAGGCTCATAAAGGGATTTATTCCTTTAAATTCCTTACCTGGCTCAGGTGGGTTTTATCCAAGCTTCTGGTTCCCATCCTTTCCCGGATGCAGCTGGGGAGGATGGGATGCCTAGTGATCTGGAAGGCGGGAGAGAAAAAACAAAGGTGGATAAATGAGACAGGTAGTCAGAGAGAGAAATACAGTAGTGCCTCGTGATTCCTATGAAGGAATTTCGCTGGACAATGTTTCGTCCCGGCTTCGCAATCTGATTTTCGCTAGACAACAATTTTGACAGCTCAAAAAATGGGTGTTTTCGGGACCTAAGCTTTGCAAGACAGCTATTTAAACAGCTGGTTGGCAGTTCGCAAAGCGGCTTTCCTATGGCCGATCTTCGCTAGACAACGAGGATTCTTCCCCATTGGAACGCATTAAGCAGGTTTCAATGCATTCCAACGGGGAAATGCTTTTCGCTAGACAATGATTTTGCTAAACAGCGATTTCAGTGGAATGGATTATCATCGTCTAGCGAGGCACCACTGTATAGAAACATTAGTAGACAAATGCTGATCATAGAGAAACACGGAGATAAACTGGTAAATAAACAGTTTTTCTGTATTTTCTCCCAGACCGACCTAGAGATCCATCAAGGAGAAAATGACTGAAAAAACTGAGAGGTACAGATAGGTAGATCAGGAAGAAAACAGCCAGATATTGGTAAGCAATCACATAGGTCAACAGAGCGAGCAAGGGAGAAAATACAGAGAAATTAGAAGGTACACAGAGAGAGAGAGAGATCGGACGAAAATAAACAACAGAAAAAGCGGGAAGTAAACAGACTGATCCATCGAACC